GTCTCATTCTCCATTGGAGACAAGGTTTTGTTAAGCTCGAAGAGTATCGGCTTCAGTTCCCTAGTGCGAGAAAGTTGTTCTCTCGCTGGATTAGGACCTTTGAGGTGGTTCAACGAGTTGGTGCGGTAGCTTATAAGCTCAAGCTATCTGATACCCTTCAGATTCACAATGTCTTCCATGTGTCTCTGTTATGCAAGTACGTTGCGGAAGGCAAGTACTTACCACCACCAACAATCGTCCTAGGGGAGGAATTGTATTATGAAGTCGAACGAGTGCTTTTGCATCGTGATCGACAACGCGGCCGCAAGACTATACGAGAGTTCCTCATTAAGTGGAAAGGCTATGGGCATGAACACAACTCTTGGGAGCCGAAAGAACATTTGACTGATATTGCGGTTGAGTCCTACATGGAAGACCTGGCTCAACGAGCACTCCCACAACCAGCGGATGGTGTTGACCCTGGTCGTAATATGGTTCGTCGTGCTCGCAGCACTCGTCCTAAGAAGCACCTCACGGCAACGAGGACATTGCCAAATGGAGGGGGAGGAGTGTACACATGATGCCTGTTTGAGCCCCTCCTGGTTGCCTTGTGAAGGGGGCGTATAAGCTGTAACGAGGCGATTCGCTTAAGTTCGTCAATTCGCAGCTAGCTAAAAAGAATTCGCATGTGCTTATAAACAAGACCCTGCTACCTAGTTACTGTTAAAGTAATTAGAACGTAAGGGCCTAGGCTGAGGAGCCTAGGCCCAACTTAGGTATCGAGTGAGTTGGGCCCAAGGGGGAGAGTCGAGAAAGTTGTGAAGGTGAAAAAGGTGGGTTTCACTATAGGTTCAAGGAACATATAGCATAGGAAACAAAAGGGTGCACCACCTAACAAAATTTGCAATAACTACACTAACTACAGCTACAGGCAGTTACAAATATAAATAATATAAAGTCTGACACTCCCCCATAACTGCCTGCAGCAGAAGTTTGTGCAGAACACAACTTGCAGGGGTACACAAGCAACACAAGCAAGATAATAACCAAGCAACAGCAGGTACTGCAGGCGGGCAGACACTAACTGGTCACCCCCTCCATCACCTCACCCTCCTCCCTCCCCTCCCCCACACTGCTGCAGGAGCAGTAGAGAGGGGGGGAAGAGAGGAGAGGTGGAGGGACGGCTGCTGGTTGCCTCACACCCGTCACCCCGGCGCCTCTCCCCCTGCTCCCCCACACCCTCACACCCTCCCCCCCAGCGGCAGCTGCAGCAGTGGGAACAAAAGGAGGAGGAGGGGAAGGGAAGGGTACGACCCACACTCCAACACCCTCCACCCCTAGACCCTCCTCCCCGCGGCTGCAGGGAGACAAAGGAGGAGGGGGGTGGGAAGGAAGAAAGCCGCAGAGCGGCGAAAAGGTGTCGGTGCAGTGGTGTCAGGGGCGGCTTCAGGGAGTGCAGGGGCGGAAAGCACCGTCGCAGGCGCCAATGGCGGGTCCGCGGCGGCTCAAGGGCACCGCCGCGGGCGCCAGGGGCGGGTCCGCGATGGCGCAGGGCACCACCGCAGGCGCCAGAGGCGGGTCCGCGGCGGCTCAGTGCACCGCCGCAGGCGCCAGAGGCGGGTCCGCGACGGCTCAGGGCACCGCCGCAGGCGCCAGAGGCGGGTCCGCGACGGCTCAGAGCGCCGTCGCGGGCGCCAGGGGCGGGTCCGCGACGGGTAGAAAAAAAAGACGTCACGCGCCCGAGGCGCGCGACCAGAAATTCAGCAGCGGAAGCTTTGGTCGAGCCCACAGGCCAGGACCAAACTGCTCTGATAACCATGTTAAAGTAATTAGAACGTAAGGGCCTAGGCTGAGGAGCCTAGGCCCAACTTAGGTATCGAGTGAGTTGGGCCCAAGGGGGAGAGTCGAGAAAGTTGTGAAGGTGAAAAAGGTGGGTTTCACTATAGGTTCAAGGAACATATAGCATAGGAAACAAAAGGGTGCACCACCTAACAAAATTTGCAATAACTACACTAACTACAGCTACAGGCAGTTACAAATATAAATAATATAAAGTCTGACAGTTACCTAGTTTTACTTCAGTCTCTTCTGCTTGACTTCGGTCTCTTCTGCTTGACGCGCTTGTAATGTAGGTGCATGAAGCTGGGGAAACAACCTCGGGTGCAGCGTATCCATCCGGCGCAAGGCAAATTCGCGCGCATGAGGTGAGCATCAGGTGTAACATCTCGATCTCCTCACCTGGTCTCGATACGTCGAACCAGCTGTGAGGGGGAAATGCGAGGAAACATGATTGGTGAAAATTTGAATGGAAGCGAGACTTGGGTTGGAATTGACTTGATTGAAAAACTAGCCAATCAGAACTCTGCTATACAATTGTGACGGAACTTACGCGATAGGTTTGAAAACAACCCACGTAAGTTCAAACATCTCCCTTGTCCAACCAATCAGAACATACTCACACAAAGTGAGTCGACGGAACTTCCGCCGCTGGTTGGAAATAGAACCAATCAGAAACAGCCAACCTAAATCCGATTCGACTCTTCCTTGAAATTGCAACTACACATGATGCCCGGTTGAGCCCCCCGACCTTGCCTTACCCTCTGGGCGCATAACCGATTCTTGCATTTCGTGGAGGTTTCGTCAATTCGCTTCGGGCAAAAAGGGCTTATAAAAAACGTTTGTAACGCACCGTTGACTTTTTTACTGCAGTCTCTTCAGTCAGACCTCAGTTTCTGTGGTTCCTATTGGTCGACGTGCTTGTACTGTGGGTGCAACCTCACGGCACAAAACCCACGGGTGCAAGGTTTCCATCTGGTGCAAGGCAATTTCGCGTGCAGGAGGTGAGCATCATGTGTAATGCAACAACTCAGGTTTGTGATAAGTGTGCATTGTTATCATTGCTGTCTATGATCTAATTGGTTGGAAATCCCAACCATTGCCACATGGGCAAGGCCCATCGTTATGCACCCTTCCTTGACATCGGGAAGGTGGCTACACCCCAAAGGGGAATAGGGAGGGGTCTGAGTCTTTCCAAGCTCTTTCTCCATTTTTCTATCCCCAACCAATCACTTGGGAAATGAGATCGCTCTCTCTCTCCCACAAGTTACCTTCCAGAAAAGCATAGTCTCGACCCATTCTCCCAGTCCCTGCAATCCCTTCCCTTCTCAAATCGCCTTTATTCTTTCTTCCAAATCCCCACCCCGCCCTTGTTCTTCCCTGCGTCTGCCCCTTTCCCTCCGGTGGGGGGTACTGAGCAGAACGGCGCCAAACGATTGGGAAAAAAATGAGTGATATAACGTTCAATCTCGGCGGAACCGGTGTGCGTGGAGGGCGGGTGAGGTGAGCGGCTAAACGGGTGGAGCGGCGGGTGGTGCGGCGGGTGGTACGAGAGTCGTCCACTCTTTGAAAAGTCATCTAGATTAGTACTATGTGTGACTGCGACGCGCGGAGTGAGCGCGATGCGAGTCACATATGCGCCTTGAGCGGGTTCCGTGGGGAGCAGGTAATGTGAGGTGCTAATGGTGCAGGGTGGTGCAAGGTGGTGCGAAAGTCGTACTTGGTGAGTGAGTTGTGTGCGAAAGATCTCGTGGGCTCGCTGCACCAGGTTGTACTGCCTCCGATTGTTCTGAAAACAGAGCTGGAACTGCTACCATAGTCGTTATAGATACTCCAGCTAACAATACTGCATGGGCGAAAACCACCATTCAATTTGAAACACTGCAGTCATTAACGTGACTTCATGATGATAGCAAGCAGACACAACTGTCATAATCTATTGAAGAAACATGTGACGGGAATGATCCAGAGACTAATATTTGTGACTTTCATTAGCACTACAGGATGATTTTTTAAAGCAAAGATGTGTGCTGTTATAATTATTATTCCTAGGGCGGTTTCATGCTTTTTGTAGAGCGAGTTTCGTAGTAAGAAGGATGTGACGCGTAACGTGTGGCTGGCGTTACAGAGCCAGCCACAAGCGATTTTTCGCGTGGCGAGGCCAGCCGGCCGCCCCGTTTTTCGCAACTGGATGTGGCGGATGTGCCTTCTGTGCGGGGGGAAAAGTCGACAGAGCTTTTACAGACGGTTTAGTCTGGTGCACAGTCGTCTAAAGCGCTGGAAAGAAAAACCGAAAATTGATATCAAACGTCTTCGACCATTTCAAACGAGCCGTTGACCTGCTCTCTGCGCGTTGGGGGTTGGGGGGAAAACAGAGCAAACCTCGCAACCATCCTGTCTGATATGGCAACAAAACAGCTCTTCTGTACGGTTCAGAGCGTTAGTGAAGTGCGTAACTACGGTTCTGCGGCCACAAAGTCAATTTCTTTTCATGGTTTCTTCGTGTCTGAAGTGGTTGTGGTGGCACAAACACACACGCCTTGTGTTGGACCTGGCAGAAAAGCTTCCACCAGCTCGTACTGTAGCTTTTGGTCCGTCTTCTCTGTTCCTCGCTCGTTTGTTAGCTTGCAATGAATTACGTAGTCCGTATCATTCCCAACTCACTATAACCTAATTGCCTTATCGCACAAGCTGCTTGTCGCATCGGGGCCCGCCATACATGCAGTTGAAGGATTCTATTCCAGTTCCAGTGCCGAGGCATCGCGATTCTTGGGTGAACTCATCGATTGCCGAGGCATCGCGCCGCCTTTGAAGCCAAACATTTTCAAGGCTGATTTTTTACGCCGTTCGCCCGAGTTAGGTTTCATCGAATCATTCTATCTAGTCTCAAAAGTTCTCGACGTCCGTTCTTGAGGCGCCTCAAAATAATTTCCAGGGCCATTCGTGACGCCTTTCGTCCGAGTTAGGGTTTTCCGAATCACTTCAAAAAGTCTCAGAAGTTATCCAAGGAAGACTTCGGTAGGAAACTGATCGTCGGATTGACTGGGCTTTTTAGTTGCCAAAGCAACTAGGGCTTCTTCAGTTGGGCTATCCATTCAACCCAACTAGGTCCGGCACGAGCAGAAGTGGCTTGTTTGATAAGAATCTTCCCTGGACCCAATTACGACGAGCCACGTCAGCTAGCAATGGACGGATCAAGGCCAGAAGCCGGGAGACGGCGGCAGCAGCAGGAAGAGACCCTTCTGTCGCCGCTTCTGTCGCCGCGTTTGTCGCCGATTAGACAGCTAGCGGGCGACGGTGTCGCACGGCCGCTTCAGCGATTCCCTCAGGTGCTTTCCCTTCAAAGCGCGATCGCGGAGAGCGCAAAGGAGGAGGAGGAGGACCATCCATGGCTGGAGAAGAGTTTCCGTGGCGCCGCGAATGGCGCCGCGAAAGGCGCATCTGGTGACACGTCAGCAGCGGCGGAAGAGGCGGATCCGACGGAGCTGAGCAGCGTGCCCGACGATTGCCTGATCCTGATTTTCCGGAAGCTGTCCTCGGCTGATCTGAACCGTTGCTCCCTCGTGTGCCCACGGTGGAGAGAGTAAGTATATTGGGTGGAATGAGTTTTTTTTTGGGAGTGTGAGTGAATGTTGGGGAAGATTGAATAGCTGGGGAGGAGTGAGAAACGGGGAGGAGTGGGTGGAGGAGAGGGGAGGGGGCACTGGGAAGGGGGAAAAGGGAGGACGAAGGGCAACAACAAGTCTCTTTCTAGCTTTCCTTATGCACTTGCTGCAGGGGGTTTCATGGTTGAACGAGCTTCAAGTACCCTCTCTCCACTTCCCTTTCCCCGTCCCACTCCCACTTCCCCATTCCTCCCTCGTTTTCTTTTTTCTGAAATGCATTACAAGTACCATCACGTTCCGTTGTTCCGTTGTGTCCCTTTCTCCTTTTCCTTATTCCCCTCCCTCGTCATCTTTCCCCCTTTCAACCCTCTTCATCCCTTTTCCACCCCTCTCCTTCCCCCCTCCACCTCCCTCCATCCCTCTCCACCCCTCTCCACCCCACCCCACGCCTCTCCATCCTCCACCACCCCTCCCCCTACAGTCTCGACGCGTCCTCTCGTACGCGCATGGCTCTGCGCGCCTCCTTCCACCTCTCCCCCCTCCTCCCCGCGCTCCTCCTCCGCTTCTCCGCCCTCCAGCGCCTCACCCTCCGCTGCGACCACCCCCCACCCGCCCTCCTCGCGCCCGCGGGGGAAGTTGGAAGCAGCAGCGCGAGGGGGGGCGGCGGCGGAAGAGAGGGCGCGGGCGGGGCAGGCGGTGGGGGGGACTACCAGTATTATCACTATCAGCAGGCGCATCAGATGGGGGGAGGCGGAGGCGGAGGCGGAGGCGGAGGGGGGGGGTATGCGAGCGGGTATGTGTGTGGGGGGATGGGGAGGAAACCCAACCCGGCGAGGAGCATAGGGGATACGAGTCTACAGCTCATAGCTCGCTCTCTGCCCCACCTCAAGAAGTTGGATTTGCGCAACTGCCTCGAGGTACGTCCCTCCTGTCCAGTCCAGGTGGCCAAACAATTTGTTCACAGCTGGGGATATGTTGGGCGTGCCGTGCAGAAAGTAGGCTTTAGGCGAGGAGGAGCATAGGGGACACGAGTGTGCAGCTCATAGCTCGCTCTCTGCCGCGTTGAAGAAGCTGGATCCGCGCAACTGCCTCGAGGTGCGCACGCTGTTCTGTTCCTGTCCTGAAGGTTTGGCGGCTTGAGTCGAAGGACATGTGGGGCGTGGCCTGGCAGGGACAGGATGGGCTGTACGATACCCCACATGCCCTCTACAGAGCTCATGGCTCATGGCTCATGGCTCATGGCTCATGGCTCATGGCTCATGGCTCATGGCTCATGGCTCGCTCGCACGCTGCCCCACATCAAGAAGCCCTATCTGCGCAACTGCCTCGAGGTGTACCGTTGTTCCAGAGCTCATAGCTTGCAACTGCCTCGACTGGAGGTATGCTTCTCCAGTCCAGTTCAGGTGACCAGTGGATCTATCTATTTGCGTTCAGTTCAGTTATGAGACTTGGATTTTTGAGTCGACTCAAAAAGTGGATCTATGAGTTGAGTTGAGTTCAGTTCTTAGAATTATGAAAAGAAGAAGCTGGGTTTCGGAAGCGTGGCGCATGGGCAAAGAGGTAAACGGGGCTCGTTTCTGGAGAGCTCATTGCTCGCTCCCTGCTGTGCTGCGCCTCAAGAAGCTCAATCTGCGCTACTGCCTTGACGTATGCCGCTGCTCCGGTTGAGACGGTTTGACCATAGGTGGTGTCAACACGTGGGTAGGTGACAACCCGTGGGCAGGTGACAACCCGTGGGCAGGTGACAACCCGTGGGCAGGTGACAACCCGTGGGCAGGTGACAACCCGTGGGCAGGTTTGTGGCTGCACAAGTTTGTGGCTGCACAAGTTTGTGGCTGCACAAGTTTGTGGCTGCACAAGTTTGTGGCTGCACAAGTTTGTGGCTGCACAAGTTTGTGGCTGCACAAGTTTGTGGCTGCACAAGTTTGTGGCTGCACAAGTCTGTGGCTGCACAAGTCTGTGGTGGACAACCATCGGTTTGGTGTGCTCTCTGCTCACTGCTTTGCTTTCCTCTTGCATTCATCCCCACCAGGTGACAGATGCGGGGATGGAGGCAAGAGGCAATAGCGCACTCGTGCAGTGGCCTGCCTGCCCAAGTTTGTGTGTGGCAATAGCGCACTCGCGCTATGGCGGACAACTACCGGTTCATGTGATAACTTGCCCCCCTCGTTCCTCCCTGCCTTGCTATGCCTGTGGGATATGTATTTACCACCAGGTGACAGACGTGGGCATGGAGGCAATTGCGCGCTCATGCACGGGGCTGCACAAGTTTGTGGCGGACAATTACCGGTTCGGCGGCAAGGGCATTGCGGCGCTGCTGCTGCACTGCACTGAGCTGAACGACCTGACTCTTGTGCACAGGTAGGTGGGGTGGGGCTGATGCATGAAAACAGGGGTATGTCCTGGTGTGTGCAGTGCTTGTTACTTTTCGGCGGCAAGGGCATTGCGGCGCTGCTGCTGCACTGCACTGAGCTGAACGATTTCACGCTCGTGCGCACTCTCTTCTCCCTTCCCTCCGCACCTTCCCTCCGCACCTTCCCTCCCATTACCAGTGCCATTGAGGAGCGTGGGAGGAATGTCTGTGCAGGCGCATCAAACACAGTTTCTCTCCCCGTTCCACCCACCCACCCTCTGTTCTGTTTTACCCCGTCCCTCCTTTACCCCCTCGCTCCCTCCCACCATTTCCAGTGCGGGTCAGCCTCTCCCCATGCCCGCACCCTCCACGCACCCCCTCCTGCGTGCATGTGAAACCACTCTCCCCTCTTTCCTTCTCTCCCTTCCCCTCCCCTCTCCCTCCCTCACCTCCCCTCCCACCAGTGCCAGTGCGAGTCAGCCTCTCCCCCATGCCCGCACCCTTTTCCCTGCTTCCCTCCCTCTGTTCTTCTCTCCCTTTTCCCTGCTTTCCTCCCTCTGTTCTTCTCTCCCTTTTCCCTGCTTCCCTCCCTCTGTTCTTCTCTCCCTTTTCCCTGCTTCCCTCCCTCTGTTCTTCTCTCCCTTTCCCCTGCTTCCCTCCCTCTGTACTTCTCTCCCTTTTCCTACAAAAATTGAACCGAGAATTCTCAAAAGTGATTTCAACATGGCGTGTGGGGACACCTCTGGAGACGCATCATAAACACGTTCTTCTCGAATCGTCCTTTCTATCAATGATTGACGTTCTTCTCTCCCTTTTCCCTGCCTCCCTCCCTCTGCTCTTCCTCCCTCCCACCCTTTGTCTCTGTGTTCTTCGTCCCTTCACCCCCCTCCACCTGCCCTCCCCCTCCAGTGCCAGTGCGGGTCAGCCTATGCCCATGCCCGCACCCTCCACCACCCACCCCCTCCTGCCCGCCTCACCCCCCACCACCCTCTCCATCCGCCGCCTCTGCCTCAAGGACCAACGGAATGCCGCCATGTGGCAGCCCGTCATGGAGGCGTGTGGGGGGAGTTTGGAGACGCTCATTCTCGGGCGCAACATGGGCAGCTGGGACGTGGTGCTTGAGGGGCTGGTTGCACGGAACAAGACAGCGGTGTTGAGGCAGGTGAGCCGGAGAGGAAAGGTAAAGGAGGTGAGAAAATTCAGGGGAGGTTGAAAGGGTGAGAAGAGGAGGCCCTCCTCTCCCACCACGTTTTGCACGCCCTCGCCCAGTGTGCCCCCTATCTACAGCCGACGAGCTTTTTGCACCAGTCGGGGGTCACGCCCTCTAGTGCCCCCTCCTCCTCTCCTACTGCTTTTCGCACTGCAGTGATCTTTCAACTCACCTTATTTTCCACTCTCCTTTTCCCTCTTCAGCTGCTCGTTGAGAAGACCCTCCTATCCGACCGCGCTCTGCACGCCCTCGCCCAGTGCCCCCATCTGGAGCTCATGGGCATCGTGCACTCGCCGCACTGCACCGACGATGGCATGGCTGCAGTGGCCGCTGGCTGCCCCCAGCTGCGGTGGGTGCACATCGACGGGTGGGCGACGGGGCACATTGGGGACGTTGCTCTCACGGCGATTGCCAAGCACTGCAGCCAGCTGCAGGTGAGGGGAGGGAAGGGAAACTGGTGAGAGGCAAGTAAGGGTTGGAGACATTGGGATAATAGGACCGGCTCGTTTGTCAACTTCCCTTGTCTGGGAGGAGAATGAGCCAACCATCCTCTTTCTTCCCCCCTTCCCCCCTCCCCCCCCCCCCCCCCCCCCCCCCCCCCCCACCCACCAGGACCTGGTGATAGTGGGGGGCTCCTGCACGCTGCCCTCGCTGCAGCAGCTCGCCGCCGGCTGCCCCAATCTCGACCGCCTCACTCTCTGCTACATGCGCTCCATTGGCGACCAGGAAGCTTCCTGCATCGCCACCTCCTGCCTGAAGCTCCGCCGGCTCTGCCTCCTCGCCTGCCCGAATATTACCGACGCCGCCGTTCTTTTCCTCGCCACGGGCTGCCCGGGCCTCGCCACGTTGAAGCTTCGCCGCTGCCCGCTGGTGACCCGGGCAGCGGTGGAAATGTTTCGGGAGGCGCGGCCGGAGGTGGAGGTCAGTGATGAGGAGACGGCGGGGAGTGGGCAGGGGGAGCACGCGGAGGGGGGAGAGCATGGGGGGGCTGCTGCTGCTGGGGGTTCTGGTTCTGCAGTTGTTGCTGCTGCTGCTGCTGCTGCTGTTACCGGTGCTGCCTCTGCTGGTGCTACTGCTGCTGGTGCTGTCACTGCTGGTGTTGCTGCTCCTGCTGTTTCCCATCCTGCTGCTTCCCCTCCTGCTGCTTTCCCTCCTGCCGCTTCCCCCCCTGCCGCTTCCCATCCTGCTGCTTCCCCTCCTGCTGCTTTCCCTCCTGCCGCTCCCCCCCCTGCCGCCTCCCATCCTCCTGCTTCCCCTCCCCCTGCGTCGCCTCTTGCTGCCCACCTTGCTGCTGCTGCTTCCCCCCCTGCTGCAGCAGCTGCCTCTGCTCTTTCTCCATCTCATTTGCCCCATGCCGTTTCTCCATCGAATCTGCCCTCTGCTGCAGCCTCTGTGACTGCTTCTGCTGCTGCTGCTTCTCCTGGGCATGAGCATGGGAATGAGCATGGGCATGGGCACGGCCACGGCCACGGGAATGAGCATGGCGATAGGCATGAGCATAGGCACAGGCAAGGGCATGAGAATACGCATGGGCATGGGCACGGGCATGGGAATGGGCACCAAGCATTAGATCCTTCCACACAGTACTCCGGAGTCCCCGCTTCCTCTCACCCTCAACCCCATCGCCCTCACCCCACTAACTCTCACCCCACTAACTCTCACCCCACTCACTCTCAGCTCACCCAACCTCACCCTGATGCGAGTTTTCCCCGCTCACTGTCCATTCCACCTCAACCCACGCGCTCTCAGTCCCCTCATCCCACTCGACCTGACGTTGCCTCTGTACCGCCTACTGCCTCTCTCCCATCTGCCGCCTCTCTCCCACCTGCCGCCTCTCTCCCACCTGCCGCCTCTCTCCCACCTGCCGCCTCTCTCCCACCTGCCGCCTCTCTCCCACCTGCCGCCTCTTTACCACCATCCTCCTCTCTACCACCTGCCGTCTCTCTCCCACCTGCTGCCTCTCTACCACCATCCTCCTCTCTCCCACCTGCCGCGTCGTTTCCACCTTCCACCTCTCTCCCACCTGCCGAATCTTTTCAACCGGCCCCCTCTTTCCCGCGTGCCTCATCTGTGCAACCAGCCTCCTCTGTTCCACCTGCCGCCTCGCTGCCTCCTTCCACTTCTCTCCCACCTGTCGCATCTTTTCCACCTTCCACCTCTCTCCCACCTGTCGCATCTTTTCCACCTTCCACCTCTCTCCCACCTGTCGCATCTTTTCCACCTTCCACCTCTCTCCCACCTGTCGCATCTTTTCCACCTTCCACCTCTCTCCCACCTGTCGCATCTTTTCCACCTTCCACCTCTGTCCCACCTGTCGCATCTTTTCCACCTTCCACCTCTCTCCCACCTGTCGCATCTTTTCCACCTTCCACCTCTCTCCCACCTGCCACCTCTTTGCCAGCAGCCCCCTCTTTCCCGCGTGCCTCATCTGTGCAACCTGCTTTCTCGTTTCCACCTGCCGCCTCGCTGCCTCCTGCCTCCTCTTTTCCACATGCCTCCTCTGTGCCACATGGCTCCTTTGCGGCTCAACCACCAGCAGCAGCAGCAGCAGCAGCAGCAGCAAGAGAAGCAACAATGGGGAACGGGGGAACGAAGGGCAAAGGAAAGCTGACATCCCTCTTTCAAGACGCTGTGAGGCGACTCAAAGCAGCAGGCAAGGGCAGCGGCAGCAGTGGGAGCGGCAGCAGTGGGAGCAGGAAGGATGGGGTGAACCTGGTGGATAGAATGAATGCTCAGGCTCACCCGCAGGGGGGGTTGGTGGCCACTCACACTCAGACGGAGCCGCCTCCCCTGCCTGCCTTCATGCAGCACCTTGCTCCCAGTCACTCTCGCAAGCGGTAGGAACGGCAGTGGCACTTGCGGTGGAAGTGGTGGGTGGGGTGGCAGTGGTGGTGGCAGAGGTGGGATGGGATGGCAGTGGTGGGATGGTAAGGGGACCTGCTGGCCAATCACTGACACACACAGATGGAGATGCGGCCTCTCGCCTCCCATCTGCCTGTCCTTATGCAGTGCCTCGCACCCAATGTTCCTCTCCTGTCGTTACCAGTAGAAGAGTCTAGTCATTCACGACTTTGACCAGTACAGAATGCTGCATTCGCCATAAAGTTGCCGTATTCTCCCAGACATAACACCCTAGGGTATATGTAAAAATACAGGAAAAAGAAGGGGGGTGTCTTCTCATAGGAAAAAGCTACATAATACCCGGGTCCTTACATATGGCATATTTTAGTGTTAGGGTTTTTTTAATTAGACAATGTGGCAGGGCTCTCGTTTTCAGTGTAATTTGTTGGGCTGAGATGCCCTAGGATCTTTGTAGAGTTAAAGTCTGAGTTGGATTGTAATAGCGGAAGCGTTTGAATGAAAAGTCCTTGAACCACCTTGCGCTAGTATGTGAGGGCAAAGTGAGTTGATTAAAACAAGCAAATACAAGGCTTTATATAAGAGTACAAGGAATATGAATAGATATAATTAAACTGTTTACTGTTGCGATTCGATACAGTGCGACTCGGGCAACTGCTCAATGTCGAGTCAGTTGTGTGTCCTTGCTGTCGCGCTGTATTTGTCAAGTCAAAGGTCGCTGACTTTTGACCTTCGCGTAACCTCCAGGCGGTTACCCTAACCTCCGAGGGTTGACTCGCGATGCTTCGATTTGGACTGCTTCGCTTGTGTCCTGAGTTTCGACACGACAGAGGCGCTTTAAGACTTATTGTTCCCAACACTCCCCTTCGCTTCTGGAGTGTCGCTAATGGTGACGTGGCCTTGTCCAGTCAGCAGCATGCAGTACTCGAACTTCTGTTTTCCGAGTTTCTTGGTCAAGTAATCGGCTGCCATCTCGGACGTGTGACAGTAGGATAATTCGAGTTTCCCTTTCTCGATCTCGTCTTTCACGAAGAAGTATCGCAGAGCGATATGCTTCGTTCTGTTCGCGAATCCGCTTTTGTTGGCGATGCGAATTGCAGATTGGTTGTCGCAGAATAGGGTGAAGTTGGGTAACTCGGCTAACTTTGCTTCTTCCAGCAGCTCGCGAAGGTAGAGTCCTTCCTTGGTGGCTGAGCAGAGGGCGATATATTCTGCTTCAGCTGAAGAGAGAGCGATTAGTTCCTGCTTGCTCGACTGCCAGGAGATAGGTCCGATAGGCTCGAGACGATAGACGTAGCCAGTGCGAGAGCGCCTATTGTCGGAATCGCCGGCATGATCGGCATCGACGTAGCCGATTAGTTTCGTGGTCGTAGTTTCGTTTTTGTAGTAAATCAGGCCGATCGTCGGAGTGCTCACGAAGTAGTGTAGTGCGCGATCGAGCTCCGCCAGGTGCTCTGCTTCGGGTTTCTTGAGGTAGGTAGCGAGTTGGCTTGCGGAGTAGGATAGATCCGGGCGGCAGGTGACGGCTGCGAAGAGGAGGCAGCCCAGTTTCCTCTGGTAGTCTCGTATTCCGGCAGCTTTGAGTGGAGCGGAATTTCCTTTGTTACTTCCTGCCGTGTAGCGGTATGGCGTGGTGATAGCGGTAGGTGTGAGCGAGAAGCGCTTGGCGATAGTGTCGGCGTATTTCTCGGCGCTTAAGTAGATAGCATTTTCTTCTTCGCGGATGTTGAGCCCGAGGTACTGGGTGATGGTAGAAGAAACCGTGAGCGTGAGGTCCTTCTGCAACTCCCCTTCGAACCAGGTGGTGATGTCGTCGGTGGAGCCGATGTAGAGTAGGTCGTCGACGTAGACGATCAGTAGGATGTAATCGGCGTCTTTAGTGAATCGATACATTCCTTGGTCGTGCGGCAGTTGGCGGAATCCGATGTGAGTGAATCGGGTGTGTAGGTGCTGTTGCCACAGCCGCGGGGCTTGTTTGATTCCGTAGAGCGATTTCAGTAGCTGGCAGACCTGATTCGGGTTTCCGTGGGTACTGTATGGGAGTTCGACGAAGATTTCGGCGTCGACGGGTGCGTAGAGAAATGCGTTGGCGACATCGATTTGTCGCGGTTTCTTCTTCTTCATGGCGGCAACGGCGAGAAGAATTCGAAGAGAGGTATGTCGACTAACTGGGGCGAATGTCTCGGTAAAGTCTCGTCCTTGCTCTTGGTCGAATCCACGCACGACCCAGCGTGCTTTGAACTTCTCGATTGTGCCGTCTGCTTTCGTTTTGATGCGGAAGACCCATTTCCCGGCGAGAATGGTCTTGTTCCTTGCCACGCTTGCGGGAACGACCTTCCAAGTGTTGCGTTCCTCCAGTGCCTTTAACTCTCTGTCCATGGCTTCGCGCCATTTCTCCCTGTGTTCCCCCCCCAGAGCCTGCTGAACCGTCGCAGGCTCCTTAGGAAGTGCGTTGCCGTGGACTGCGGTGACGAGGCCGAGGATTTGCAGTCCAGTCTGTGAGTATCGGGGGAGTGTTGGATCCTCGGGATAAGCTGCTTCGTCTCCCGCTTCTGGATCGGGTATGAAATTTGGCCCTATCCGTTCTGCTTCGTTTGTGTTGACTGTCGCAGGTGTTACGTAACCGTTGTCGGCGAAGTGATAGAAGACTTCGGCGTTGACACTGTCGCGAGGATTGTCTTCGTCCATGGGCACGTCGACGGAGCAGTACGGGAGAGGTCCGGTTTCTTCCGATGCGTTGTCGACGTTCTGTTCATCCCAGTCTGCTTCGTCCGCTGCTGAGGCGAAGGCTCGGTCACCACGAAAACCACCAGTGGGGTCCTGATTCTCGTGCAAGTTGGCGAGGTTCGTTTGAAGGGTGAGTCGCTCGTAGAAGATCACATCACGTGCTGCTACTGTTTCCTTTGAGTGGACATCGAAAATTTTCCACGCGTTGTCATTTTTCTCAATGACGAGGTGTAGTCCCCACTGTGCCCGTTGTGAAAATCTTCCCGCTCGTGCTTCTGGGGGTCGGTACTGCACCATGCATCCGAAAACTCGTAACATTCTTGTGCTGCCCTGCTTTCCTGTCCACAGCAGATGCGGTGATGCGTTGTTCGGGAGTGACGACGACGACAGCAAGTTGTGCAGCATGACAGCATGGTCCATTGCTGCAGGCCACTGGTGGTTGGGTAGCCGCATGCCACGTAGCAGTTTGCGCATGCTGTTCTGCAGAGTCCTGTTCATTCTTTCTGCAACACCTTGCTGCTGATGGGCGTAGGGAAGGGAGAGGAGTTGCTTGATTCCCCTTTCCGCCATGTACTGCTTGAAGCGCTGAGAGGTGTATTCTCCTCCTCCGTCTGACTGGAAGCTTTTCAGCTGTGTTCCTGACTCCCTCTCTGCTACCGGTAGCCAAGCGGCGAACGGTGCGAGTGCCATGTCGCGGCTGGGTAGGTTTCGATGCCAGACGTATCGAGTGGCGGCGTCGATGAAGGTTATCGTGTAATTGTAGGTGACTTGTCCTGGTTCTCGATTGAAGAGGATGTCGCTGTATACTTTCTCGAATGGTGCGTATGCAGGTGCGCTCGGGTTGTGGTGAGAAGAAAACGGTCGATGGGGTAAGTCGGCTTCGGGGCAGATGAGGCAAGTTCCTCGTGCCCGTTGAAGTTCTCTGCCGTCGGGTAGTAGTAGCAAATCTTTGTCGAGGACTCCTGCTCGTATTGTGTTATTTAATACTGTGTTGCTTGGATGCCCTGTGCGTGCGTGCCAGATGTCTTCAGGAGCGCGATGTCCGGGTGAGCGTTGATACGCGTCGGAGTTGGAGTAGAAGCTGGCGACGACATTGGCGCTTCTGTGGACTTCTCGTTGAGTCGGGTTCAGTTGCTGTGCGGGTGTTGGTGGTGCTTCGTCGACGATGACTGGTGTCGTTGGTCCTGCTGCTGCCGATGATGTTTCTGCTGCTGTCGATGTTGTCTCTGCTACTGCCGATGTTGTCTCTGCTGCTGCCGATGTTGTCTCTGCTGCTGTCGATGTTGTCTCTGCTACTGCCGTTTGTTGAATTGTTGCTAACGCTCGTGTTCGTTTTGCTTCAGGGATGGTGTGCGAGTACCAGAAACCTCCCGGGCTGAAGTCGGGATTGAGATCCGGGGGATGTGTCCAATTGGCGAAGTTGACGATGGCGTCGCTATATGCAGTGCCAAGGTCGGGGACGAAATCGAGGACGAAGACGTTGTTCTTCAAAACTGCTCTTCCGATGTAGAGGCCGCCCTTCCCGTGGTACAGTTTAAACTCCTGGGTGGTGCTGTCGGCTTCCAAGTGGATGCCTTTCGCCATCAGCTGGCTGACACTAAGTAAGTTATAACCGAGTCCTTCTACGATGAGTACCTTTGACATGTGCAGTATGACGTTTGTCTCTCTTGATTGAAGCTGAACTACTCCTTGTCGTCGTGTGCGCAGGTTCTGGTTGTTGGCGACCGTGATGACTACTTCTCGCTGGAGTCGATGTTCGCGTTGAACGAAGCGTCCCGAGGAGCACATATGTTGTCCGCAGCAACTGTCCAAGAATCAGGTGTCTTGCCCGGACGGTTCGCTTTGAGCGATGGCGGCGTACGTCGGATTCGGTTGGAGTGACTCGCGGCGAGGCGTCCTGTTGTCGAGCTCTTCTTCCGGTGAGTAGTGAGGTGGTGATTCGGTTGTGCACGAATCAGTTATCTTCACCATGCAATTGACAATGTTTCCTGCTCCTTGTGCAGATTGTCCTGTTGGAGTCGTTGAAGCTTGGATTGAGGTCGTCGGATTTGCTTGTGTTGAGGCAACTTGGGAGCTTGAAGGCCGGAGTTGTCGCTGTGGTGTTGTCTGACGAGACGGGCAGTGCGTGCGAGGGTGTCCCGAAGTCTTGCAGATGTGGCAAAACGGAGGTACCGTCTTCACTTGTTGCTGTTGTCGATTGTTGTTGTTGTTGTATCGTCGCTGAGTGTGAAACGCGAACTCCGGTGCTAATGTTTTCTTCTTGTGTCTTTCTTCTTGCAGGTCCATGTCCTGCTGCTCGGCATGAATTTCGGCGCAGAGTGCCGCTTCGGAAATCCTCCCGTGTGCTCGTAATATGGCGCGAGTGGAGCGCCAGTGGGGGCCGAGACCGCCGATGACCACCGTGACAAAGGCGTCTTCTGAAATCGACCCTCCGCATCGAAGAAGCTTGTCGCGCGGTTCGCGGCAGCGGCTG